AACGACAAGAAACTCAAAATACGTAATTATAACCATCGCCCGAACTAGCAAGTACGGTACTAAAATAAGTCTACAGATTTAACAAGATCTCAAGAATTGCAGCAGAAATAAAGTAACATTGTTGAGATGTATGACAAACTAGAAATAAGTTAAAGGCAACTATGTAACTAGAAGAATGCTCCTTCACATCAAGTCTCTAGCTCACACATTTCGCTTGCCCTTACTTGAGCTCTTGACATGGTATTTCTATGAAAATATTTCACTTTTATAAAAGCAAGGGTTAGACCAAAGGTCTAGTAAGTTTCCTTTAACACATGTATACACGCTGAAACATTTCACTATAGAACATAATTAAAAATAACAACTTAAAACATAAAACACCAATACTCGTTGCAACTGTTAAATACGCTTATAGTCACGCAAACCTATGACCAATCATTGGGTTCACACCTGCTTTTAAAGTGAGCTACATGAAACGAATTCATGTGCTTCATTCTGGTACACATTATTATACACATCCACACCAAGAACTCACATTTTGCAAATAACCATTTCTCAAGTATATGAAACACAATATGTGAATTCAAGTCAAACGACAACTCCAACACAACTGATGAGTATATGTTTGTCAAATATAACAAGAGAAAACTTACCTGAAGTCCAAGACTAGACGTACACTCTTAGGCTAGAATCATACCAACCGAACACCTGAATTGAGGTTACCATAAGATGACTTAGAACCCCAAAGGACCTCTAAGTGAACCATAATAAACCCCTCAGGTAAGGACCCAAGCTACATCCCCAAATTGCTTTTAAAACAAAAACTAAAAATTGAAAAACAGTAGCTTAAGCGACTTTCATGCAACCAAACCCGCATGAAACTCGCATTCGTTACTCTTTTGCTTACACAATCTTGTTCAAGAATCTGAACCCCAAATCCAACACCGAACATGATTGAAACTTAATTAACGCTTAAACTCGCAGTAAACTCATATAAACTCATCCCTAAACAATATATAATCTAATCCAAATATGGGATTTATGGATTACATCCACAGTTAGTAAGATCATACACATCTATGGTGTTTTTTACTAAATCCTAACCCCAATTGTAACACCCCCAAACTCACATTGCATATAACACATATTTCATTCACACAATACATGTTCAAGCCCACAAAGGTCCAAAGTACAAGAAGCCATAATACAAAATACACAACTCAAAAATTCCAAAATACATGCTCTTGTACTACATATCATCTATTATCAAAATACATCCTTCCATCTTCATAACGCTAAGCACATAGAGAGATAATTCATAATTTGCCTTTCCCCTTACTATCATTATACTCAACATTTTCTGCAAATACATATTTGAAAACACAAAATGAGGGTTAGACCTATAGGTCTAGTGAGATCCTTTTTTCCATGTAGTTGCAGGGTGAAAATCACCAAAACATTGATCAAATAAAATCATTTCACAAAATGAAATATAGTTCCACATTCTGTTTGTGTCCATCGGACCTCTGGTTCCATAGACCAGACTTAGAAAATATTACCGCAAACAAGAGAAACAGAGCCCCTCTGGTTCCTCTACCAGAGCTTCTGGTTAAGCTAACCAGAGCCTCTTACTTAAACAAAACTCTCAAAACGTTCATAGACCAACACCTTATATGATAAAATAGCTTTACCAAGAATAAAACATGTCTTTAAAAGGATTTTGTGTGACCAGAGCTCTGGTTCTACTAGCCAGAGCTTCTAGCTCAAAATGCAAGACTAACCAGAGCTCTAGTCTAACACGATAGGCCAACCAGAGCACCTCTGGTCTATCTTTTCTTGTAAGAAATCTTCTAAGTATAAATCCCTTTTGAAAAATCTTTTAAAAATATAATTTTGACACAGAGCTCTTATCTATAGATACAGAGCCTCTGGTTTAGCTAAAAACTTTGTAAAAGACTTGCATTAATCTCTAATCATCGTCCAAAACCCTCTGGTTCTACTATGAAGATCAACCAGACCCCCTCTGGTTCCTTTCAAGAAACAACCAGAGCCTCTTTGGTTCCTCTTAAATGAAACACTTGTTCTAAAACAAAGTTTATCCAAAACCATTAGCCATAGGCCAAGTTTTCCCCTTCTCAATAACATCAATACTATCATTTCTAATAAGAACAACATCTTTGAGTCCTTAAATCACAAAGAAGTAAGAACTCAAATCTATTATAATCTTAAGAGACATAATAGCAAGAGCTATATTATTTCCACACATAAATGCGACCCTTATATACAAATGGACACCTCTCCTTGATATGCCACCCTTATAACCGAAGGTACACCTCTCCTTGATATGCCACCCTTATCCCATGGTACACCTCTCATTGATATGCCACCCTTATTTCCTCATCAAAATATTTGGATTAGTTCAAAACGAAGACAGACCGAAGTCACAACCGTCTTGATGAAACAACCTTCATAGTTTTATCCCCAAAATCTATAGATTAATCCCAAACGAAGACAGACCGAAGTCACAACCGTCTTGATGAGATGTCCTCTATAGCTTTCAACCAATAATGGTTTCAAAACATTTTTATCATCAAAACTTTTCAAACTCAATAACAATCTGTTCTTTCAATGATTTCCAAAACATCATATTTCCTTTAGATCCTCAAAACAAGATATCATTTCCAAAACTGTTTTAAAGAAGCAACCTCTTCTTAGCTTTCCAAAACAGTTTCCAATACTCAAATATATAACAATAATACCTTTAAATTGTCAAAAAACAGTTTTACCATCTTTTCCTCAAAACCCACATCGAAACCCAACAGTTCATATAACAACATATATAAAGGTTTTAGTTATCAAAAACTCACCCTATCAAACACAAATTCTGCAGATTTTAAACACGCAGTAGATGTTCAAACAACACAGAATCTTCAAACACTTTTGAGCAACAAATTCTCTTCAAGAACTCTCCCACCGCCGCAAACACACTTTTTCTCTCTAAAAGATTTCTTTCTCAAATAGAATGATAAGATAAGATCCTATTTCTTTTTCATTCTTTATATATTTTCACAAGGGCGATGGCGGATTTTATCATTATAAAATTCTTTGGGCGGTGGTGGGTTTTATTATTTTAAAACCACCTTTCTTCACCACGAAGATACTATCTATTTTAATAATAGATTTTACATAACCATGTGTAACATATACTTTTGCAAATACGTTGCAATTATCCCCTTTATACGTGTTTATGTGATCAAAACATAAAATTTGGAAGCAAACCCGAATGCAACAAACTATACATGAAATAGTCGGAATCATCGTACGAGGCCTGGGGCAAAACAATTGGAAAGAAACGGGTCAAAAGCATCAATATCTACGTTACGGATACATAAAAACTGACTTTTATTGGAAGATATTTTTGAGATATTTCTATTGTAAGTTGTAGATTATCTCTTTACAAATGCGTGAGCCAAAACCACGTCAAAAACAGAGGTCCGAGCGAAAAGTTATGCGATTTTTAGTGATTAGTGGTCAAACCGAGTTTTCAGCCGAGCCAACTCAGCCCCAACTCGTAAAAGTCGGTTATACATGTTATTTACCTTCTTTTTCACCCAAAACAGACTCTCATCTCCAAAACTTACTACCAAGGGTGATTTTGGCTTCATAGGGGTGAATCAAGGTTGTTTCAAGGGGTTTTACTTGATTTTTATGCCAAATTCATCCTCCAATT